TGGATACAAGTTTGACAGTAGCAACAACAGCGATATTGGCTGAGAACACCAAGAACTCTACAAAAAACCCTAAAAATGATTATCTGGGATCTCAGCCGAAATGGACTAAGATGTGGTCTTAATAAACAGTCAAATTTGATTTCCAGAAATTCAGTGGCCATAATGTTAAAGAAAAATCTATTTCTAAAGTAAGAATTGCAAATAATCTCTTTAATAATCATTTGAAATACTGAATTAACTTTTATAGTTAACAATTACTGTTTGTAACCACTCAGTTTAAGATAATTTCTCTTTTATTGTTAATGTACACAAAAGGAAAATATTAGTCTCATAGAAAAGATGTATTAGAAATCTAACCAAGGAATAAGTAAATTCAAGAGAAAGCTTCAGCAAAATTAGCTTGCTCACCATGACTCTGTGGCAAAAGTCTGTCATATTTATCAACCTTAGAAAAGAAATGACAAGAACTTCTACAGAAGGTAGTGAAGGAAAGCAAGAAGAAAGGACTAAATGTCAATTGCAAGAAGAGTGAGTGCATGGTTGTTAGCAAAAGGGAACAGTCAAACATGTAAATTACAATTTCGGGAGACAAGTAAAACAATTGAAATATCTGGGAAGTGTTTTAATAGAGGATAGAAGGGGTGACACTGAAACCTGAAGGTGCATTGGGATAGTGTAAGATGCCTTCCAAAAGCTAAGTATTAAGAAACAGGAAAATTTTTATTAGAAACAAAGAGTACCAAACTGTTATGTAATATCAGTCCACCTATATGGCAGTGAAAGCTGGACAATCTACTCACTGAGGAAGAAAAGACTTTAAGCAACAGAAATGTGATTCTACAGAAGGAAGCTGAGAATACCAAGGACTGAATATGTGAGCAATGACAAAATTTTAGAGAAAATGGAAACAAAAAGGAGATTTATACTTAGAATCAGAAGAGAGACAATTGAAATTTCTAGTGCAAATGAGGAAAAGGGGTTAGAAAACTTGATACTGAAAGAACAGATTGAATGCCAAGGAAACAGAGGAAAAAAATGCATAACTTACCTAGCGAGCTTGAGTAAATGGATGGCAGAACAGGGTTTAGGAGAGAGAACAAAAAGACAAATTTTATTAAGAGCTACAAAGGACAGGAAATTGTGGAGAGCCATGATCGCCTACACCCTGAAGAGACATGGCATACAATAGTGAGGTAGCCAGTGATCAGTGTTCAGTTCATTAACAAGTGGTCAATAGCCTTAACCTGTTAGCTATCGCTCTAGAACAGATGATTGCCAAAGTTTAGTCTTTGCAAGCTTAACAAGTCTAAAACAGAATGAAGCACTCAATGAGGCTCAGTTCTTCACAGTTTGAAAATAAAACACTAACATCAAAATATTCTAGTTTTAACTTGGAAGCATTGTCCTTGTCAAGACTGAATATTTTTTATCTTCTGACAAGAACTACTTCAGCGTGAAATGAAAATGTCACTCTTAATTTGTTGGTTAATTGGGAAAGATACCATAAATTACAACTTTTGAGTCAATCCCAGACAAATGGCAAAGAACTCTTCTGCTAGCAAACTAAGAAAGGGGATATACTTGTAATATTTCAAACTATTATTCTCATCTTGGTTTATATAAATATTGTTATAGACCAGGGGTCGGCAACCTATGGCAAGTGTGTCACAAGTGGCACACCAAGCAATTTCCAATGGCAGACAGCAGCAAATGACATCACAATGTCCAAACCAATAACTACTACAATGTAAAGAACATATTTAACTGTTTCAAATTTTAATATATACTAAAGTATATATACTATATATTACTATATAAAATATATTATAGAACAGGTATAGTGACTTTGATTTGTATAAAAATACATATGCTGTTGGCACATTAGATGATTTTAAAACCCTAACTTGGTACATAGTTAGCAAAAGGTTGCCAACCCGTTATAGATAATGCTTCGACTAAGTAACCTCTGGCCACCATCAGGTGTCTTATTTATGTCCATTAATAGCATTTGTATCAACCAAGACGAAAAGACAATTACTAATCTCAGAAAAGAAATATTATGACTGAGAAAGTGGAGAAAGGAAAAGAAAAAAAATCACATTAAATAGAATCATCCAGTAAGATTTTAGAAGCATTTCTTTTGCAGATAATATACATAAGTAATAGGTTGAAAAAAAGAAAAAAAAAAAAAAGATTTTTTTCCAATTTTGTGTTTAGTTTGAATAATAAATAAAAATGAAAATTTACAATTTGTCCAAAGTGAGCAGTTACCTTTCTCTCCACTTCCCAATCAACTGAGATAATAAAATACGATATAAAGCCAAATATTAGCAAAAAGATTGCTTCCTGACAAAAAAAAGGAAAAGATAAAAAGTTCTACAAAGAAAATGAGGTAAATAAAGACAGTTACTGATTTTGCATGAAATTGTTGTTTTTTTTTTTTTTTTTATAAAAGAGAAAGTAAAACAATTACCATAAGAGAAAACAAAAATTTAATAGCAAGAGGGCGGGAGGAGAACAAAACAAAATGTTAAAACTATGAAAAGTTAAAAATCGCAAAAAACAAAAATTTCATGAATTATTTTTTTCATTGAAAGTTATTTTTTTTATTTTATTTTATTCTGTTTCTTGGCTTGGATGAATAAAAAAAAAAAAGAAAATCTGCCTCAAGGTGTCCAAATAAAATACAATTACTGGTTTGGGAGTCGAAATGATTGGATGCTATAAATATGATAAAATCTGTCAGCTTGGAAGTCAAGGGACAGAGACAATGTACACAGATTAAGAAAAACTAAACTAAAATAGTTAAAATCATTTTTAACAAGGTATTAAATCGGATGCAAAAAAAAAAAAAAAAAAAAGAGAGAGAGACAAAATAACAATCTCAGCAGCAGACAGGCTTCAAGTTCTACACTAAGGCTTTAAGGCTTCAAGTTCTACACTAATCCCATGGGACACTAATCTAGCAGATTAAAACATGAATATGGTGTCTGTAATTGGGAGTTCAATCCCTGGGTCAGGCCCAGACTAAGTGTTAATAACTGTGCAGTGCTAAATAAAAGAGATGAAATATCCCTAGATATAGCTTGTCCTTATTCTCCATAGATTAAATTCCCTGACTGACAAACCCTGATGAAGACCAAAGGGGGCAGTAGTTGAAATGTGGTGATAGGTAAGGTAAGGTATTGCTTACTGGCATGTCAACCTTAAGGGACATTTTATGCTGAATTAGTTAGTTTTTCATGTCAAGTAATTTTTAATCCTTTTTATTCTGTGACTGCTTTGTAGAAAAGATGTTTTTAGATGTAAATACTTTGTATAAGTAAACAAATATTCTGTGGGGTTTATTTTTTGTGTGTGTGTGTGTTGTATCTACAAGAGTTTAAGACGTATTTCCCGCCCAGAAAGCCTAGTAAATGAGAGACAGGTACTTTTTTTTAAATAGTATATCTTAGTTTGATATATTATAGTATTTACAATTTATGTATATATATATATATATATATATATATATATATATCTTTTGCATTCTATCATTATGTGTTTTATAGTTAATTGGTGTCCATAAAACATACACCGGGGGGTTAAGCCTTAAGCAAGTGTACATGTGTGAGATATGTGTGTCTGATTTGAACTCGGGTCAGCACATTATCTTACCTTCCTTCAGGCAATGATTCTGTGGACTATTTTTTTTTTTTTTTTAACATTAAGGTTCACCTTCTACAAGGCCTGGGGCCAACTCATGATACAGGGATATGTTAAGAGGCAGATTATACGGATAGGAAGGAAAGATAACGTTAACTCTAGACTTTAACAGGTTAAAATTGTTGTGATCAGGGAAACATCCTCTTGGGAGTTTGTTCCACAGAGCAGTGATTCGCAGGAAGAAGCTGTTTGAGTGGAACTTACTTCTCGCTGAAGGAATATGGAGGGAATATAGGTGGCTTGCTACAATATAAAAGGCGTGGTGGATCCTAGCGGTGAAGGTTAGACCTGGTGGAACCAAGGAATGTAGTTCGTCAGAGTACTTTTCATGGAAATAGTAACAGACCAACTAGATGCCATATCCTGCACAAGCATTCAATAGGAGTAGATAGGTTTGCCTATCGCCTGGTTCACACTCCTCTTTGGTTTTTTGAACAGTAGATGTTTATTTCTTGTTTCCTGTTTAGGATTAGGTTTCTGGTTCTTTTATTTCTAATGTCTCCAAAAGAACTTGAAAATATTATTCACAAATTAAATCTTGACCTATTCAAGTCTAAAGTTAACTTATCATTCCTGTATAGCCCCAAAAACTTCACTTCTTTCTACCTAGAGTGGCTCTCGGGCCTTAGCATTGGGTGAACATAAGTTTAAAAAAAAATAAGCAATGTCCAGCAAACCTCACGCTTTTGAACGCCATCTTTTTTGAGACTGAGATTAGCTTTCTGTATAGTTACTAGTTTTTTAGTTTAGTATTCGAAGGTATAAGTGCTGTTTGTAACATTCTAGGGTAGCAACTAGCCTCTAGCAGAAGGTTTTGTCTGAACTGTATGACTCACTTCCACACAGGAGGACTAGCCATTGTACATGCATACCTTGATGTTACACCTGAGTGTTGATTTCCATAATTATAATAGGCTGAGCAAGCTAAAGTCCTTTTCATGTCAAAGACCTTGAACGAGTTGGACATCTAAGAGCCAAGGTATTTGAAGCCTTGAACAATTTTAATGCTGTCTAAGACACACAGTTGGTCTTGCATTTCCTGGTTGAACTGGAGCATCTCTATCTTTGCAATGAGACGCAAACCAACTTTGCCTGTTTTAATCTTGATGCTGGAGAGGAATTATTGGGCTTTGGACTCGACTCTTTTGTAATCAGGGCAAGATATCATCTGCAAAATCAGTGTCAGTTATTATTGTTGGTTTGTGTCTTCTATTCAGTTTGAATCCTGCATTCTCTTCTTTGCCTTGCATGGCTTAAAAAAAAAAAAAATAATTCCAAACAAAGTATTAACTTACATTTGCTTCTGTCATTCGTTTCATTCGAATATATTTTAAATCTTGTGAATGCATCAACTTGAGTTGTTCATCAGTATATGAAGTTTCTTCATCTTCTCGTGGTTGGTGTAATCCATCCTACAAAAAGAAATTAAAATGAAAGAAACAACAGAGAATTCAAATGCATTAAAAAAATAAAAATAAATGATTTAGAAAATATTCAAAGATGTTTTGGAAAGACATGGAATTTGATCATCTTAATTCTTGGAAGCAAGAAACAAGGTTAACAACAGTGAAATTCCAAAATCCTTTTTAAGGAATGAATGTGTTTTCTAAGAATAGGAACATTAGACAGATTCCTTATACTTTCTGGAAATTCATCAACATAACGGATTCTTTTTTCCCCCCACCTTTACAGCTTTTCACCTTAGGCTTTGGAATCTTAATCAGTATTCAACTGGAACTGAGAAAAGGCAATTTAGAATTTCTGAAATGAAGTTTTCTTATTATTTAATTTTTGTCTTGCAAGCCAAGCTTTATATTAAAAGGGGGAAAAAAAAAAAAAAGGACTTGATTTTTAAGGCTTTATTAATTTCCTTTTGTTTGTTTCATGAAGAAATTACCAGGTGTCACAGGTAAGTTAGGATGGCTAGTCAAAGTCTAGTAAGTATTTAGTAAGTCTAGCTTTGTTTGACACAGAGTCATAAAATGGAAGGAAGATTATGTTGGGCTCATCCATAACTTTCTCTTCCCTAACCTCTTCAATATTTTTGACAAGAGTTAATAAAGCTAAACACTAATTGTGAATATTAGAAACTCTGACAATTTTCACATAAGTTTTTTCTTTTATCTTATTTTTGTTCCTTATTTACACCTAGAAGTAGTAGTAATTCAGGTAATAGTCTTTATATATAGGAGGCACGGTGGTGTAATGGATTAGGGAATCGCAGAGCTGAGTTTGAATTCCAGTCGAATCCATTAAATTCACTTACGTGCTAATACCCTTGGGAAAGGTATGAATCCTCTTCCTCTCCCTCCAGCTATGGGTAAAATAGCAGGACAGACTGGGTTCTATAGCCTTGGATGGCAATTGGTCTAGGAGAAGGTCAACTCTGAATTCAAAACCTGCAGAGGGTCGTTTGGGAACCTTGTGGCACATAGTGCACCAGGCCTCTGTATTCGGCCCTTCAAAAAGTGTGGATGGTCCTGCATGAGGCCTTCACCACTATAATCAAATCTCATGTGCTGTGTCAGGCTGTCGGTTTCCTGGGAACTGATCTGCTTGACCCTCATACTTCAAATCTCGACGGGAGAGTCAATTATATATATGTGTATGTATGTATGTATGTACGTACGTGTGTGTGTGTGTATTTAGGCAGTAAATTCTCTTTGAGAACATGTCTGATTACAAACATTATGTTTGCTTATTTTTATCATAATCCTTTTAAATTCACAAATATTTTTCCATATGACAAGATCCAGAGACGGATATGTAATATAATTGGCCCTGATCTGGTGTCTCATCTACAGTCACCCTCTCACAGATGCGCAGTCGCCTCTCTCTGTCTTTTCTACAAATACTTTCATGGTAATTGCTCCAATGAGCTGCTTTCACTGGTTCCCAGACTCCATGAATTCAAGTGCCCTACAAGGCAGTCATCCCGCTCCCACCCTTACACTGTAGAAACTTTTAAATGTAGCCGTCTCTTCTATTCCAATAGCTTCATACCTCACACCTCTCGCCTGTAGAACACCTTTCCCAATTACTGTTTCCCTGAGAGCTATAATCTCCAACTATTCAAATGTAATATCAATTGACATCTCCATTTACCTTGATCTATTCACTATCCCTCTCCTCATCGTTTCCTCTATCACTCCTATCTGTTCTTGCTCCAAATCTTCTGCAACCCCCTGCATCCTAGTGGCTTCACGCCTTGCTTGGGGCGTAATGCTTAAAAAAAATGTTCCAATTAAGTAAAGTAAGAAATGGAGTGTAACAGTAAAAATCACTTTTATTTTCCCAAGTATTTTCCGTCTCTTTCTGAGATCATCAGGGGCACAACTGGTAAAGCAAAAAATATGTCTAATAGATAGCTACACACAGTTTTTTGCCTTACCAGTTATGGAAAGTACTTGAAATATAAATATAAAATTGTGTATTTTGGGCAGCAATCACTCTTTTATACTAGTTTCATTAAAATGACTGACAATGTACTGCAGTTTAGTTATTTATTTAATTCTTCTTGTGTTCTTATAATTTTCTTCTTTTCTGGGCATAGACCTAAATTATGTAGAACTTGTCTGAATGTTCTGTATACCTGAGCACTTTTGGATATACTTTGGAAAATAAAACATTCCTATAACTCTAGATACATACATAAAACAATCCATATATTCAGTTAAAAGTCAAAATAAAATCATCCTTGATAATGGCTTGTTGCATGTTTTTTTTCTTCTGCCTTCTTGAATTGTTTTTCTTTTTATCATTGAATATTCTTAGCTTTTTCTAAAGTCAAATTATAATTTGTTCCATTTTTCAATAGTAAATCTTTTTTTTTATCAGAAATTGTTATCCTGCGTTAATTAGGTGCATAAAAGGAAATTAAAGCAAATTTTGTATTTGCATGTTGTTCATCTTTACTTGTGAAATAAATGTTTTCCCTTTAAAATTTTATGTAGTGGTCGTGTCTTATTTTGTGATTTGCATCTATTTTGACGTCAGGGTGAAGAGAAGCACAAGTTCTCTTTTTCTTCTCGATTTCTACTCACTAGGTTTTTCGTGTTTGGCACAAGAATACTTAGATTTAGTAAAGAATAAAATTGTTTTTATAAACAATCCAGAACAGCCAGGTAAAAATGCTACAAAAGTGCAGCAGTAAAAATCAAATACATCTAAATCTATAAAACATAAATAAATAATATGGGAGAAAATAAAATTTGATAAGGAAGACTAAAAACTAGGTGACTAAATTTGAATGGCACCTGCTGGTTAGTGTTTGCAAGTTAATTGGTAAAACAATGTCCTTGGTTAGGAAGTAAACAAAAATAAAGAGAAATTTTTCTTTTATTTTTATTGTTATACAAAAAGATAAGATTACTGATAATCATTCATTTCTTTACAGAAGAAAATCAATGAAAGCAAATAATTTTAGATTAAAAAATGTTCTTAGACAATTCAGAAACTGTTGGAGAGTTTTTTTTATTTTATTTCTGATTGAGAAAAGATCCAAATTGGACAATAAGATTAAAAGTATCCACTCGATGTAAAGTCTTCAGATTGGAAGACACAATATCTTTATCTTTTTTTGGTTCACAGCTGATGAAGAGGGAATAAAAGGAGGGGAGAGAGTAAAAAATGCTGGGAACAAGATTAGTCACTTGAAATATAGAGATTGGATTTTGATAAAAGTGAACAGCATATAACTTAAAAAAAAAAAAAAAATAGGAAGGTAAGTAAAATGACAGGTTTCAGCTTTGGGCCCATTTATTCACACTTAATTAAAAAAAAAAAAAAAAAAAAAAGAACACACACAAAGACACCCTTCACACACCTAACACCTAACTTAAAATTTAAAAATCTTAAGCAAGAAAGAACATAAAAAAGAAAAAGCTGTTAGATAAGAGATTGTTTGAACTGTTTGAATACTGCCCAAAGAATTTTCCCCAACCTTAAAAATTTTCTCTCTCATTCATATATATATATATATATATATGGTAGACTGGTCATGTCTTGAGAATGTCTGATGATAGGATACCCAAGATCCTAATGTACAAACAATTATATCAGGGCTACAGGAATGTAGGATGCCCATCGCTAAGATACAAAGACAAGCTGAAGAGCAACTTGTCAGCTGTCAATATACCTCATAACACTTGAGCACTTAGCCTTGGAGCGGGTAGAATGGAGATCAACATATTTTAGTGGACTTAGCAGTTTTCAATCAGCTTGTCTGAATTGTCTCCAAGAAGTGAGAGCAAGATCTAAAAGGTCATTCAATCTAATAATGATCTCATCCCACAATCCTTACACTTGCTCCATATTCAGCCTCCTTTACAAATCACTAGCAGGTCTTAAGTGGTTTATCGCTATACCCAGGACGCAGACGTAATTTATCGTCATACCCAGGATGCAGACGTAGTTTATCATCATACTCAGGACACCCTGAGTTAAGGGACATTTCAAAAGTGTTTATACTTAGTATATCAGCTGTCGGACACAATATGTGCTGTAGCATTAATAGAATTTGAGTTACTATTTTGTATTAATTTCAATGTTAATATGCTTAATATGCTCAACAAACAAAAGTTTTAGCCAGATATATTTGAGGCAGCCTGCTGGAGGTACAGTAAGTGGCATACAGTAATTGTTATGAGTCCTGTCTCACCTGTTTACAACATGGTGGTAAAGGTTTGCATTTATAGCAGCCATATTAGTCAACACCTAGTTTTGGAAAGATTTTTAAAGCTTGAAAACTTAACATGTATGCCACAAGCTGCTGACCAATGGACTCTGGATCAAATGGAGGTTTCTTGTTGAGCAACTCACCATGTAGCAACCTCAATGACACTGGTGGGTTATGGGACATGAAGGAAGAAATTATAAGTAAGCAGGTGACAAAATGGGAAAAGAAAAAAAAATCTTGACCAACATGTTTTATTCTGTTTTTTTTTTTACTAAAATAACAATAGAAATAAAAACAAAAGTGGTGAAAGGCTAACTTAAACATCTAAATCAATCAAAATTTAAATTTAAAGCTGACAGCATTTATGCTATTGACATTGTTTAGGCTGTTGTCCTCATCTTTGTTGTCATATTCATGATGTTTTGGCCATTGTACACTGGCTTTCTTCAGGTGATTGGAATTTTGAATTGAACCTTTTATTTTGTTCACTGGGGTAGATCGTTTTAGTTCCACATGCCATGCCTCTTCTGGATGTCTCAGTATCAGTTATCTACCTTTAACTAGACTCTTAAAGTTTTTGTTCACCTCTGCTGTAAGCAGGTATTTGGTCAAGCCTCAAAAACTTAATTTATTAGTAATATATTAGTATCATTTAGAGTCTGTCTATATTTCTGAGATGAGGTATTATGTACATTATTTACATTATTCGGATTATTGTCCTCATCTTTGTCGCCA